ACAAAAAAGAAACAAACAACAACAAAAAAGTAAACAAAAATAAAAAACAAAAAAGAAATGAGAAAGAATCAAATGATACAAAAAGAAAATCTGAAATAAAAGTAGTAGTAACGAGGGAATTCAAAAGGTAAGATATAAGGGGAAAAAGAAGAATTAATTCCTTCATTTTTAGCAAGTATCTCTTAAGAAAATGGATTGAAATCAATTAAAAGGCCAACCTGGAGAATAGTAAAAAAGACATGATCTGTTTATATAATGAATCTTGAAGATAAATGAAAAAAAATGTATTTCATGTTAACAGTAATCAAAGAGTTGAGTGCATCTATCACAATCAAATAAATCAGAAAGTCTTTCAACAAACAAAGATGACATTATGCACTGATAAAATAACCCAATCATCCATTCAATACAACCATGATATATATACCTAAAAACAATACCAAAATAAATCAAGCAAAAAATACTAAAATAAATCAGGCAAAAACTGACAGAACAGATACAGTTCTACAATAACAGTTGGAAGACTTTAGTCACTTCTTTCAAGAATGGATATAAGAAACAAGACAGAGATCAGTAAGAAAATAGAGAACCTGAATAGAGAAAACAAATTAGACCAAGCAAATACAAACCAATGTATTCTATTCAACAAAAACAGAATTCATTGTTGTAGAGTCTAAATGAAACATTCCCCATTTAAACCACAAATCATAAAGTAAGTATTTATAGGGACCAGCAGTTAGTGTAATGGTTACATTGCTGGGCTCTCATGGAGTCAACCACTGTTCAAGTCCCAGACCTAGTGGCTTAAACTCACACCGGGTGCATGTGCGTGTGTGCCCAAGATCCCAAGAGAAGAATGGATTTCAGTGCGGCCATCCCCCTAGTGGGTGATTTCTGGCTTTCTGTCTCTATCTCTCAGTCTTTCTGGCATGCGCATGTGCAAACTGTGCCCAAGATCCCAAGAGAAGAATGGATTTCAGTGCGGCCATCCCCCTAGTGGGTGATTTCTGGCTTTCTGTCTCTATCTCTCAGTCTTTCTGGTATGCGCATGTGCAAAAACTCCTCAAAAAAAAAAATAATAATAATAATAAGTATTGATAAATTTTTAGAAATGCAGAGATCAAAACTTTCTCCCACAACAACGTAACACTTGAAATCAATAATGAAAGAAAAACTGAAGTTTACTAAGCAACCCAACAGAAAAATGATACATTATCAAATAGTATCAGCATGAAATACTATACCAAAATTTTATCATATAACCTAGGCAACAGAGACCAGCAGATTGTGTAATGGCTACGTCGCTGGACTCCCATATAGCTTGAGTCCCTGACCTGGTAGCTTAAACTTATGTCAGGCACATGTGCATGCGTGCCCAAGATCCTGAAAGGAGAATAGAAAAGGGACTGTAGCGTGAGGTGATTTCTCACTTTCTGTCTCTCTGTCTCTCTCTCTTTATGGCAACCACACATGCTCTATAGCAAAAATCTCTCAAAAAACTAAAAATCATAAGCAACAATACACATGAATATTCAAGTGTAACAGTAGGGAGCTATCAAGTGAGAAGTATGCATAATTCAATTACAAAGCTTCATTAAAATTCAGCTACCATGCTTTTAAAAATTACATATATTAAATATCATCAATAATTTGAAGAAAATTACATATTTATAACAATTGATTCTTCTGGGGTAGAGGGCAAAAGCTGGAAAATATGACTTGTAGAAAAACAAAAACACATAGGTGTATTTAATCAGAAAATTTTTTTAAGTTTTTAAAGTTTTCCTAAGTTCAAGTGTAGGTTTATAAATATTACCTAATACTACGCTTTATTTATTTATCTATTCATTTTTCATTTATGAAGAATAGAGTTTTATTTGACTCATAATTCTGGTGGCTGGAAAGTTCAAGAATATGGGACCAGCATCTGCCTAGCCTGTGACAGTACATCAAATATGGTATCTAGAGGGAACCAGCAGTTAGTGTAATGGCTATGTTGCTGGACTCCCACGTAGTCGACAGCGGTTCACGTCCCGGACCCGGTGGCTTAAAACTCACGCCAGGCGCGTGTGCGTGCGTGCCCAAGATACCGAGAGGAGAATGGAGGAGAAGGGACTGCGGCGTGACCATCCCCCCTGGGGGGTGATTTTTCACTTTCTGTCTCTATGTCTCTGTCTGGCGAGCACATGCGCCCTATAGCGAAAAATCTCTCAAAAAAAAAAAAATTTGGTATCTAGAAACAGGGAGATCAACAAACACACGTAAAGAGAGAAATCGACTGGCGAGCTGCCATCCTATTTTATAACAATCTACTAAGGAGGAAACTGACCAATTCCCACACGAATGAGAACTCCCTCCCTCCTACAAATTCATTAATCTATCCATAAGGATAGTGCCTCCAAGACCCAAACACTGCTGAATAGGCCTCACCACCCCTCAGCACTTACATACAGAAAACAGAAAATGGAAAATTATCTGTTGACAATAACACATATGTTGATGTGCTTGATTGAGCCAATATACAGTGTACTGTGAACAGAAAAATCTCATTTTGTATGCTATAATGATGTACAGTGAATGAATGTAAATAAATAAATAAAAATAAGTAAACTAAAAAAACAAACTAACAAACAAAAAAAACATAATCTAGGTCTCACCCACTAGTTCTCACCACTTCCCAATAACGAATTCTAAAACTTGAAACTTTGTGGAGCTAATATCATCCAAACCATAACAAAGTGTTAATACTATGCGTTATGGTTTCAAAATATCATAGGATTTTTTTCTTATATAAAAAAGCTAATTAATAAGCTGATACTTAAACACATCGGAATGAGTCATACAGGTCTACTTAAATGCAACTTTTCTTCAATAATAAAATTTTCTTTTCCCTAGCTTGCTTTACTTTAAGAATGCAGTATATGGGGCTAGCAGATGGAGTGAGTAGAAGTTATATCACTGGACTCCCACATGGCTGACTATAGCTGAAGTCCCAGACCTGTGGCTTGAAACTTACGTTGTGTGTCTATGTGTGCATGCCAAAGGTCCTGGGAGTCGAAAATGGAGGAGAAAGGATTGTGGCATGGCCATCCCCCCAGGGGGATAGGAGTGACTGCTCACTTTCCTTCTCACTGTCTGTCTCTCTGGCAAATGCATTAGCTCTAAGACAAAAACTTTTTTAAAAAAAAAAGAATATAGTGTATGATACACATAAAATTTTAAAAATGTTTTAACATTTTATGCTTTCAGTAAGGTCAGAAGGAGGTTATTAGTAAAGTAAAAATGAAGACTGGCACCCCAAATCCTACATTACTCAAATCAACCTTATATCAAGTATGGAACCAATGGAGGGTACAGATGATTTCTCTTTTCTTGATTTACCATTTCAATTTTCCACAGTAGATATGTCTATTCAAAATATTAAGCAGAGCCAGTAAGAGGCATAGTGACTAAGGTACTGGACTCCTACAAGGTCAAACATGGTTCAAGTCCTGGACCAACGGCTTAAAAAAAATCACACTAGGATCAAGTGTGTACCCAGCATACTGAGTGGAGAATGGAGGAAAAGGGATTGCTGTATGGCTCTCCCCTCTGAGGAAGTGATTTTTTTTCACTTCCCTCCATCAACCACTATCTCCAGGGAGCGCATGTGCCCTATGCCAAAAACCTAAAAACAAGCTAACAATAAGCAAAGTATTACTGTTAGAAAGATTCGTTAAGTTCTATTATATAGAACATGTCCATAAACAGTTGAAAAATACATATCCATTAAAAACTGATAAGCCTTCCTGAAAATTTCAGTCTCATCTCCTAACCAGGCTAATTTAACTGAACATCAACTTTCTCACTAAGTTCAATCTACATAAAAAAGACAAATTAATTCTCTTGGCTCTGGTCAACACAGTAAAAGAACAACTATAGAAAACATTCTTCAATTTCCACATTTATATATGATGACACTTTTTTTTTTTTTTGAGTTTGAGGGAGGGCATCTATGTCCACTGGGAGAAACAAAGAGAGAAAGAAAAAGTGAGAAGGCATTGCATTGGAGGGGGATGGTCATGCAGTAGTTCCTTCTCCTCCATTCTATTCTCAGTATTTAGGGTATATATACACAAGCATGAACACCAGTGTCTTTTTCAAGCTGCTAGGTCCAGGATTTGAAACATAGACATATGAGACCCAGCTACCTTAACCACTATACCACCAGATGGCCTGAGAATGATTATGTTTCTAAGATTTTTTTCTGTGCATCTTTTGTCACTCCCTCTTTCCTTTCCTTTTTTCTTGCCTTAGACAGGAGAAATCAGCCTTGAATGGGTTTTACTATGCCACAATTCTCTGTGTCTTCTAGCCAGCAAGGATCCTGGACATGTCTGTAATTGACCCATTTTGTCAACCAGGATCCAAACCCCTGGCCTTCCACATTGCTTCGCTACTGTGATACAATGACATACTACCTTCAACAAAATGGCTGGGCCAAAAAATGGTGGTTTTTTTAGCTTCTCCTGAAAAGGTCAGTCCATCATCCTATTTCTGGCTCTCCACTCAGTAAAAAATAGTCAAAATTTAGATCTGTCTCCAATAAAAGAAACGACCTTATAACAAAGGATAAAATTAGCAGTTTCTGTACTAATCCATGATTATAGATGTTGACAAACTAGTAAATTTAATGAGGACAATTCCCGAGATCTTTCTAGTCATTTCAAACCCTTAGATAAACTGATCAAAGCACTAGTCTAACACAAATAACCAGAAGGTAGCTATTTCCAACATCAGACAGATTAAAGAATACTATGATAATATCAAAATCTCACACAGAGAGAAAAAAGAAGGCTGTCCAAATGACTCACTGACAGATTATCCAAGAGCACCAAACTTCATTCTTATCCCTCAGATGTAAAAACACTACAGAGGAGAACCTGTAATAACAGACGGCATTATATGCTAAACTGACTTTCCCCAGTCACACTGTGAAAATGAACAACCAAACATATTACCTTCTCTTCAGGCGACAGATTTTGTTTGCTACTGCTGACAGGAAAACCACTACCAAATTCTTTGGAATGAATATCTGCTCCATACTCAACTGTCACATCTTCCTCAATGCTGCTGACCAGCCTCCAGAATTCCTTCTCAACAAGTTCTGTAGGCACCATCTGTGAAAACAGGTGTAAAAGATGACATTTTGACTCCATGTCTGCATGAAACTATGGCCGCCAGGCCACCAATCTCTATGCATCCAGCCCTTGGTCACATACATGTACAGGCATGTTGAAGTAGTCAGCCTTGAAGGAATCAGCCATCTCACCAAAACTCTGCAAAGTATACTCCTGAGTAGCCTGCTCAAAACCAAAAGCTTCTGGAGGCCTCTTACACTCCTGAAAAGAGAAATATTTCAGGGAGACAGACAAAAGGTGACAAAATTTAAAAAGATCTAGTAGTTAGAGGGGAGAAGTCCTTTAGACTGCATTTAGTATCTCATTTTATAAATCCACTTCTTTATGTATTTCTAAGGGGTAAAGTCTCTTTAATATACTATAAAAATATTTCCTTGTCTTGTTCTTCATCATCTGGATCACGTCCCTTCTCACCAGTTCACTTAAGTGTCTGTGATCCTTCAGCTAGTCTGTCCTACCATATTGACATATTACTATACTAACAGCTATTCAAAATTTAGCTGAAATACTAATTTAGAAAAGAGCAGGGACCTAACTTGCTAGTCTCTCTTAAACCCAGGAAAGCAGATTAGAAAAAAAATGACCAAGAGCTGAAATAAAAACATGAATGGACAGGCCTTACCGCAAGGATACACTTCGGGCACCTCCATAACCCTCTGGGAATTTCAGGGAGGGGTGGCAATAAGCAGAAAATATGGTAATTGTCATTACAACCTTCACAGAGAAGCAGCTTATCATCCTCCTCCTCTCGGGAGCATATTCGGCAAACATATGAGTTAAACTACCAGGAAAAAAGAAAGTAAAAATGTAATCTTTCTGTATCATGATACCTGAACTCAGGTTTCCAGTTATTTCATTGCAAATACTTACTACCAGTCAATGATTATGCAAAGTACTACTCATGAGTTTATTATATGGCCAAAAAAAAAAATTACAAAATGATGTAATATGTTCATAACAGAACTATATCTATGTGTTCTTGAAGCTATAAAACAGACTCCCACATGCTGTTTAATGTGAACTAAATAATTTGAGAATTACATAAAAGAACAAAGAAAATTTAGCTACATTCAGTTAATAATAACTGGTATAACAAAATAACTGATACAAATAACTCTTAGAGAGTTGTCTATTTAATTAATCTGACCATTTCTTAATAGGATTATTCATTCTTTTGCAGATGAGCTCCTTGAGTTCCCTATATAGTCTGCAATGAATGGTCAAAGTGCAGAAGAAAATAATAGACAACATATCTCCTATTTTTTTAAGAGTTCTTTGTTTTAGGGCATGTATGATTGTGGGGGGGGGGGGGGGGGGTGGGAAGAAGAGACAGAAAGACAGACAGTGAGTTGTAACAAAGAAATCACCCTCCAGGTGAATGGCTGTGTCTCAATCTGTTTTCCTCTGTTCTCATTGGATCTTGGGCATGTGAACACACACGCAAGGTGTGAGTTAAAAGCCACTGAATCAGAGACTCAAACAGCAGTCGGCCCTGTGGAAGTCCAGTGACATATCCGCTACGCCATCTGCTGGCATCACTTTCCAACATCTCTTATCATAAGGATGACACAAATCAAAAGCATACTTAGATACCACTTAACCAGGTCAGAATGACTTGGATCAAGAAAATAAAGAATGATTAGGACTGGCAAGGCTATGGTAGAAGGGGAACCTTCCTGTGCTGCTGCTGGGATTCTAAATTGGCATGGCCATTATGGCAAACATGAAATTGCACACCTATATTTATTGCAATATTATTCACAACTCCTAAGACACAGAAACAACTTACATACCAAGAACTGGTGACTAAATTGAAAACCTCTGACACTAGTACATTATGGAATACTATACTCCGCCACACAATTCGGTCATAACAAACAATGAAATCCTATCACTTGATACAAAGTAGGTGACTATAGAAGATTTAATGGTAAGAGAAATAAGCCAGACTATAGAAGACATACACTGTAAACCCCTGCTCAATACATACTGAAGATCTGCATTCTGGCAGAAATTGAAAAATGCAAAGATATAATAGTTGGGAGGGAAAGTGTAAAAAAACTATATGGGGATAGGTGGTTAGAGAGTAGAGAATGAGTAGGAGGGGCTCAGAAAAAATAATTAACAGACATAAGAACGTAAAATTCTCTATTAAAAGTGACATACATGGTAATATCCTCAATTTAACATACTACTGTGTACTTTGAAAAGTCATATTATGTGCTACAGAGAAGAACTACAACTAAATGTGAATGAGAAATCATTAAATCAAATTTAAAAAGAAAAGTGGTACAGATGATAAGTTTAACATAAAAAATCATTTATTTCTGTTATTCTCCTGAAAAGTTTACTAAGTGTTTATTTGCACTGTAAAGAATGTATTCAGTTTGGACAACAATTGAGATAGTCTACCAAGTAATAGCTCCTAAGAACAGACACATTAATAAAAGTCTATAGGGGTCAGCAGGCAGCATGATGGTTAAGATGCTGGACTCCCACAGGGCCAACTGTCATTCAAGTCCTGGACCCTGGAGCTTGAAAATAACATTGCTGAGTATATGTGCACGCTATGTCCAAAATTCCAGAAGAATGGGGTTGAAGGGATTGTGGCATGACCATTTTCCTAGGTGTGATTTCTCACTTTTCCTCACCTTTTCTTTCTCCAGCAAGTGCACATACCCAATAGCCAAAAAAAAAAAAAATCCATGTACTTGTCACCCAAAGACCAAAAAAAAAAAAAAAAAAAAAAAAAAAAAAAAGTCCTCAGACCTTGGGCTTCGCTGATACTACAAAAACACACTAAAAATCTATTTAAAAAGAAAACAAACTAGTAAATTTTAGCAAGACAGATTCACTTTTGAAAAGACTACTGGCAGTGAACAGGATGGAGTACTCGATGAAAATAAAGAAGTAAATCAGTAAACAGAGTAAAGCTAAATCACAGAATAAGAGATAGAAGAAAATGTGCTGACTGTGTATATATGTGTGTACATATATATACTTAAACATTCTAAGTGTCCAAGAACTGATGACTGGATTGAAAAAATGTAACACATACATACAAAGATACAAAGGTAGAAACATAAACACATGCACGCACATACATAAATGTGTACATAATATATATGCACATCTGCCAGTAAAAAACAAAGACTTCAGAGAGTTATAAACAACAGACTTTATAAAGTCAGTCTTAAAAATATGAATGTAAGTTTTTTATTGAAAGTAATATACACGGTAATATCCTCGATATCACATACTACTGCATAGTTTGAAAAGCCATATTGTGTGCAATAGACAAATACATCAATTAAATGTGAATAAGAAATCACAAAATTAAATTTAAAAACTGGTGCAGATGGCAAGTTAAACTATTATTCTAATGAAAAGTTTACTAGTATTCATTTGAATACTAGTAGTAAATACTACGTATTCAATATAAAAAAAATCATAATCCAGGGAAATGCAAATAAAAAGTATAATATCTTCAGGTATCTTCCAGAATGACTGAAGGAAAACAAAATTGTCCATTCTAATTACTAGTGAGGATGTGCACCAACTTGAACTGTCATCCATTACTAGTAGTAAATTGGTCAACCATTTTTTAAAAGAGCCTATGTATAACCTTAGTCACAGCAATTCCAATTCTAATTACATATACAAAGAAATGTCTACATGTTACGTAAAGGTATATCATTCTAATATTCATTGTAGTATTATTTGCAATAGCTCCAAAATTGAAAAAAAAAATATGTATATAAAAAATCCATGACAGGAAAACAATGAAAACTCATACAATACAATGAATTTTTTAACTATAACACTGGAACAAAGCCAACAGAGAAAAGAATATGCAATATGCAAAATCAATCACGAATTTTTGCATATGCACATTATATTGCAGTAAAAAATAAAACAGAACTAGTTGATCAGTTGGTAGAACAAAAGTCATGGTCTCCAGGCTCCAAAACTAGATGACAAGATCTACCTTGTGATAATCCTTAAGATGTACGACAAAAGGAGCTAGTAGGTGGCATGGTGGTTAAGACTTGCACTCCCACTTTGCTAACCAAGGTTTGAGTGTGCCAGACCTAGGAGCTTAAAAATCATGTCAGGTTAAAAAAAAAATCTCACAGGTGCATTTGTGTGCATATGTGTGTGAACGCATGCACATGTGGAGAAAAAAGGAATGCAGAGTGGCCATCCCCCTGAAGGGGTGATTTCTCTCCTCTCCATCTGTCTCCAGTAAGAGCATATGCCCTATGGCAAAACCTAAAGAAAGAGAACACCCCAAAAACAAAAAAAAAAAAAAAAAAAAAAAAAAAAAAAAAGTCCTCAGACCTTGGGCTTCGCTGATACTACAAAAACACACTAAAAATCTATTTAAAAAGAAAACAAACTAGTAAATTTTAGCAAGACAGATTCACTTTTGAAAAGACTACTGGCAGTGAACAGGATGGAGTACTCGATGAAAATAAAGAAGTAAATCAGTAAACAGAGTAAAGCTAAATCACAGAATAAGAGATAGAAGAAAATGTGCTGACTGTGTATATATGTGTGTACATATATATACTTAAACATTCTAAGTGTCCAAGAACTGATGACTGGATTGAAAAAATGTAACACATACATACAAAGATACAAAGGTAGAAACATAAACACATGCACGCACATACATAAATGTGTACATAATATATATGCACATCTGCCAGTAAAAAACAAAGACTTCAGAGAGTTATAAACAACAGACTTTATAAAGTCAGTCTTAAAAATATGAATGTAAGTTTTTTATTGAAAGTAATATACACGGTAATATCCTCGATATCACATACTACTGCATAGTTTGAAAAGCCATATTGTGTGCAATAGACAAATACATCAATTAAATGTGAATAAGAAATCACAAAATTAAATTTAAAAACTGGTGAAGATGGCAAGTTAAACTATTATTCTAATGAAAAGTTTACTAGTATTCATTTGAATACTAGTAGTAAATACTACGTATTCAATATAAAAAAAATCATAATCCAGGGAAATGCAAATAAAAAGTATAATATCTTCAGGTATCTTCCAGAATGACTGAAGGAAAACAAAATTGTCCATTCTAATTACTAGTGAGGATGTGCACCAACTTGAACTGTCATCCATTACTAGTAGTAAATTGGTCAACCATTTTTTAAAAGAGCCTATGTATAACCTTAGTCACAGCAATTCCAATTCTAATTACATATACAAAGAAATGTCTACATGTTACGTAAAGGTATATCATTCTAATATTCATTGTAGTATTATTTGCAATAGCACCAAAATTGAAAAAAAAAATATGTATATAAAAAATCCAGGACAGGAAAACAATGAAAACTCATACAATACAATGAATTTTTTAACTATAACACTGGAACAAAGCCAACAGAGAAAAGAATATGCAATATGCAAAATCAATCACGAATTTTTGCATATGCACATTATATTGCAGTAAAAAATAAAACAGAACTAGTTGATCAGTTGGTAGAACAAAAGTCATGGTCTCCAGGCTCCAAAACTAGATGACAAGATCTACCTTGTGATAATCCTTAAGATGTACGACAAAAGGAGCTAGTAGGTGGCATGGTGGTTAAGACTTGCACTCCCACTTTGCTAACCAAGGTTTGAGTGTGCCAGACCTAGGAGCTTAAAAATCATGTCAGGTTAAAAAAAAAATCTCACAGGTGCATTTGTGTGCATATGTGTGTGAACGCATGCACATGTGGAGAAAAAAGGAATGCAGAGTGGCCATCCCCCTGAAGGGGTGATTTCTCTCCTCTCCATCTGTCTCCAGTAAGAGCATATGCCCTATGGCAAAACCTAAATGAATAGAAAAAAGTGCAATAGAGAGGTAACTGAAGACACAATAGGTAATAAAGATAAGTTAATAGCGATCAGATGAAGATAACTAGAGAAATACAGGCATCTAGAGCTCAAAGTAAAAGGGTATAATTCTGGAAAATCAAATTACATGAGAGAAAACAAAAATTACCAAAACAAGATTATATTAGCTATATAGAAAAGAGAATCACAAAAGGAAATGCACCATTTTAAAACATTTAAGTGATTATAAAAATCTTTCAGGTAAGGTGTAGGAAAAAGGATAAAAAAAAGATGATGACAACAAAAATAAAACTTTATACAAGAGAGGCACTACTAGGTTTTCAGAAATGTCATGGCATTTTTTTTCTATTGTTCCTTGTAAAAATGCATCATGACTTTTTCAACAATCAAATATTATGTAAATATGATGTCTGGGTGACCTGAAACACTGAGCGGGGAGAAAAAAAAAGCTCCCTCAAATTTAAACTGAAAAGAAAATGCTTAGTTTAATGGAAAATTCTATACAGGAACTCTGCTCCTTACTTCAACATCCTGAATAATTTTATTACACTTCAAGGTCATTGATCTGTTTTTAGAGAAAGGATTCAGGAGTAAGCAGAAAATGTTCAAGAAATTAGGTTTGACTTTTAGGTTTTATCTAATCTTTGGTTTTATCTAAGATCAAAATAGTTCTCCAGGCCTAGCCGCAGTGGTTTGTGCTAAGATGCCATGTTTGACAGACTGGTACCATATGGAAAGCCCAAGATCGATTTCCAGTCAACTTAAAGGCTGAATATAGAGACAATGTTTGACTGTAATGCCAGATGCTCAGGAGGATACAAGAGGAGGATCATGCTATCTTAAAGCAAAACAAGAAAAACTAGAGGCTTACAAAACCATAAAAGAGTCCTTACAAACTGGGTACAGCTATGATTCTTCTGCAGCCTCGTGGTCATCTCGGTACAAGGCTCTAGGCTGTCCTCTTTAGACAATGATAATGACACCTTTTCATCTCCTCTTGATTCTTCCTTCCCTGTAACATTAGGGGAGCATATGATCCCTTCTTTATCCATGAAGTCAGAAAAAACTATGAAAACAAATTTCCCCTGTATCAATGTAAACAAACTCTCTCTCCCACGGAAGAGAGAATATTTTAGTACTTTTAATACTGTAACCCCTCATTCTGTCTCAGCCTGTTAAATCCTACCTTTCTTGCGCAAAGTTTTGTCCTTAGCCATGAGGCCCAAGCCCATCATCTTGGGGCCTGCCCCATATATCTGTAGTTTCTTTAGCTCTGGATTCTTTTCAATGTCCTCCTCTGTAGGCTCTGGCTATTAAAAGAGATTTAAAGAAGGAAGTAAATTTCACATGTATGGACATAGCATTTTCTAGGCAAGATCTAGACTTTCATATTTGAGAACCATCCTATGGCCTATCAACAAGCAAATAAAGTCACACAGAATGAAATCAGCTAGACTATCTTTTTTAAGAGTTTTTGCCATAGAATGCATGTGCTCACCAGAGACAGAGAAAAGAGAAAGTGAGAAATTATCCCCTAGGTAGATGGGCCATACTTACAATTTCCTCTCTTCCACTCTCATCTCAGAGGCGCACATACAAAAGCACCCAGTATGATTTTTAAACCACCAGGTTCACAGCTCAAACATAGTCAACCATGTGGGAGTCTAGAACCTTAACCACTCTACCTTAACCTGAGGACAGAACTTTTTTTTTTTTAAGTATTTATTAATTACGTATCTTTACCTATTAGTAAGGAGTGACAAGACAGGAGCAAATGAATAGAAAGATCTGGAAGATAATTCTTTCGTTAGTTTTTCTGGTGGCATGAAAGATGTAAAATAATACTATAGGAGCCAGAAGGTGGCGTGGTAGTTGAAACAATGACTAACACATAGTCAACTGAGGTTTGAGTACTGGATCTGGCAGTTTGCTCTCTCATTTTCCCTCTCTCTCTGTTTCTCTCTGGTAGGCTATTAACTCAGATCATTCATGGGACCAGCAGTTAGTGTAATGGCTATGTCGCTGGACTCCCATGTAGTCAACTGTGGTTCACGTCCTGGACCTAGTGGCTTAAAACTCACACTGGGCACATGTGCATGTGTGCTCAAGATCCCAAGAGGAGAATAGAGGAGAAGGGATTGTGGAGTGGCCATCCACCCCAGGGGATGATTTCTCGTCTTCTGTCTCTCTGTCTCTGTCTCTGTCTGGTGAGCACACGTGCCCTATAGCAAAGAACTCTCAAAACAAAATAAAAAACTCAGATCATTCTAAGTAATTTTTTTTCCCCCACAGTGTAATTAGAGACCTGGGAAAATGGAGATCAACTTTGTAGAGAAATATCATTTTTCAGTACTTTTTTTTTTAACTAGACATTGTGAGATACACTTTATTTATAATTCAACAATTTTTATCTTACATAATTTAAATTAAATCCTTAATCTCCTTACCAATTTGTGTTACAGATTCCTCTATTATTTACAAATTTACACTTAAAAATATATGAATTCTTTCCTTAAAACATATGCATATATAAACACAAAAAATCATCTTTTTTTTTTTGGTTTGAGATTTTCTTTTTTTTTAATGTTTACCATAGGGCACAGGTGCTCACCAGAGAGAGAGAGAGAATCACCCCTTAGGGAGATGGCCATGCAGCAATACCATCTCCTTCATTCTCCTCTTGGAATTTTAGGAATGCACATACATGTACCTGGCATGATATTTAAGTCACTGGGTCCAGGACTTGAACTGTGGTCTTTCATATGAGAGTCTAGCACCTTAACCACCACACCACCTGCTGAAGTTGGGGTTTTATTTTATGTCCATAGAAACTGGGGCAAGGGCAACATTTATTTCACAAGCTCAAACACGGGAACACAGTCATGTATCAGGGTAACATTTCATTAAACATCAAATCATGTATCCAACAACAGTCCCATAAGATCTTTGAAGCTATACCAGCTATACCATTTAATCTAGACATGGAGTGGGAACATCACTATGTAAAAACACTCTATGATTGGGGCCAGCAGGTGGAGTTAAGTCACTTGACTACCACTGGCAGACCACAGTTTGAGTTCCAGTCCTGGAGGCTTTAAGACATGCTGAGTGCACGTATGTATATGTGCCCAAAATACCAAGAGAATGAGGAGAAAAAGCTGTTGAGTGCCCTTCCCGAAGAGGGGTGATTTCACACTTGTCCTCTTTGTAGCTCTCCTTCCAGTGAGCACATATGCCCTAAGGCCAAATTCTTTAAAAACAAAACAAAACAAAACAAAAAACTTCAGGATCTTCACACAAAGATGAAACTGTCTAATGCTATATTTGTCAGAACACAGTACCACCACCAAGAAATTCAAGCTTATAATTTTCCCAGAAATATTTGAACTCAGGTTTTGTTTTTACAAAGCACTGAGCTTTTTTCCAACATGTAGGGCACTGTAAACAGTAATAAAATTAATTTTATTAACCATATTTTCATCCTGTGTACTTCATAATGTTTGAATATCTTGAGAAGGACCTATTACTCATCCCAGAGCCAGCTAACACCGAGAGAGTAAACAATCTGTTGGTAACAAGATTGGTAACAATCAGTCTTTCACATATAAATCAAAAAACCCTAAGTCCAAACCCTAAAACATCCCCTTTATCTCATTTTCACATACAAAGTCAGTATTTCCCATTGCTAATCACTCCAGGGAGACCAGCAGTTGGTGCAATGGCTATGTCACTGGGCTCCCATGTAGCTGACTCTGGTTCAAGTCCCGGCCAGTGGCTTAAACTCATGCTGGGCACATTTGTGTACATGCCGAAGATCCTGAGAGGAGAATGGAGAAGGGATTGTGGTGTGGCCATCTCCCCTGAGGGTTGACTTCTTGCTTTCTGTCTCTCTTTCTGGTGAGCACACATGTTGTATAGCAAAAACTTCTCCAAAATAATAAAAATTAAATAAATAAATAAATCCAGGACCAGGTACCACATACCTACAGATAGTCCCCATCCTCCAAAGCTCAGTGGAATTATACTATTCCAACTACCCAATCCTCAAATGTCTACACTGCTCAGACTTGCCTTTGCTGCAGCATCCTTGATAAAAATTATGGCCTGTGCTTGTGCCTCCTGATGAACCCTGGTATTTCTCTCTATGGTCTTAGGTGGTGTGACGTTCCTTTTACAAGAAGGAAACTGTCAGAAACATTAAATACTTCTTTTTGAAGTATTGATGTCTCTTTATTGTCGCTGAATCATCTTTATAACTTAAGATCTGATTGACATAGTAAAATCCATATATACTTGTGATATTGTTCAGATAGAGTAAAAAGTTTAACAGGAGGTTGTATTTGTTCATTTGTTGTTGGGTTTTATGTTTTATTTATTTATTTATTTTCAGATTTTGCTTTATAGCATGTCTGCTTGCCGGAGAGAAAAGGTTCAGTGGGTTGGCAGAGTGAGAAATCACCTTCTGTGGGGTTGGCCCACCCCAATGCCTTCTCCTCCACTCTCCTCTCAAGATTTTGGGCAAACATTCACACATGCCTGGTGTTAATTTTCAAGTCACTGGGTCTGGGACTCAAAACACACACTTGGCCTTGGGGTCCATCCAGTGCCTTAACCTCCACACCATCTGCTGGCCCCAGTTATATATATTTAAATTATGATTTTAGTAAAACCTGCTACTACTACCAAGAGTGCATGTTGCCCATGTCCTCATATCCTTAACAAATTCTGACTTTCCTCATCAGTTGTGTGCAAAAGACTAAAGTTATTGGGACCAGCAGTTAGTGTAAATGCCTGCGTCACTGAACTTCCACGTAGTTGACCATGGTTCGAGTCCCTGACCAGGTGGCTTAAACTCAGGCCAGGCGCATGTGCATGGTTGGCCAAGATCCTGAGAGGAAAATGGAGAAGAAGGGATTGCGGCGTGGCCATCCACCCTGGGGGTGATTTCTTGCTTTTTTTATCTCTCTGCACACGCCCTCAAGCAAAAACCTCTCCCCCCATCCAAAAAAAAAAAAAACTAAGAAGTTATTTAATATTTTGAATTTTAACTGAGTTTAAACACTTCTGACTCATTCAATAGGGTTAATATAAGAAGAAGTTAGAGGACCAGCAGTTGGCATAATGGCTATTTCACTGGATTTCCATGCAGTCGACCATAGTTTGAGTCTCGGACTCAGTGGCTTAAACTCACGCCAGGCACATGTGCATGTGTGCCCAACATCCCAAGAAGAAATGTAGGAGAAGGGATTGTGGTGTGGCCATCTCCTCTAGCTTTGTTTATGCTTTATGTAAATTGATTTATAGTATTTGTCCTTTTAATGCTTTGGAAGTACTATCCCTATTTTTCATTTTAGTCACTCACAGGGTTTTCCAAAAATTTTTAAATCTTTTGAGTAGGGGCCATAAAATGGTGAAATGGTTATGTCACTGGAAACCACGGAGTCAACCAATTTCAAGTCCTGGATCTGGCAGCTTAAAACTCACACTGGACATGTGTCCATGCATGCACAAAATCCTGAGAGAATGGAAGAGAAGGAATATAGCATAGGGGGTTGATTTCTTGTTTCTTCTGCCTCTCCAGCAAGTACATACACACTAAAGCAAAAATCTCTCTCTCAAAAAAAAAAAAAAAAAATCTTTTTGAGTAAAAAAGACAACCCACTTCCTAGGAAAAAAAAAATACCTAAATGCCCATTTGATCTTGAAAATGTTTTGCAATCTTAGCTGGTACTTAGAATTTTCAAACACGCTTTACTGTTTTTTAAATTATTTATGTGATAATTTTTCTATTTTTTAAAAGACTTCTTTCTATAAAGAATTAAAATTGCAAATTCAGAATCTAGCTGAACCTCAATAATATGAACTAATTACTTATCTTTTTTATGCTTTATTTTGCAATGTTAAAATATTTCTAGATTTAATTTTTATTAGAATTGAGCTGGTTTGTTGGTCTAGTGGTTAAAGGAGCTATTATCCACATGTGCAGACCACGCTGTTTAGAGTTCCAGTCTCACTGACATGAAAACTACACTAGTCATATGTTGATTATGCTCCCAAATTCCTGATGGAAGGGAGTAGAAGGGATTGTAGTATGATCACATCCCACTGGAAACTGCTTTCTTTCTGCCTCTCTCACTATCTCCCTTCATGTGCCCTCAAGCTATTACAAAAATAAAATAATTAGGATTATTTACAAAATACCTTACAATACACAAATCATCCTACTTAAGATATTTGAAAGAAACAGGGACAAGGAGATGGCATAATGGCTACATGGCTGAACTTCCACATAGATGACCGTGGTTCAAGTCCCAGACCAGGCAGCTTAAAACTCATGCTGAGCAGATGTGCATCCATGCCCAAAATCCACAGAAGAGGATGGAGAAGAAGGGACTGTGGCGTGGCCATCTCCCCTGGGGAGTGATTTCTCACTTTGTCTCTCTGGCAACCAAAAAGTGCATTACAGTAAAGATTTCTCTTAAAAAAATATAAATTCAGAGAAACATACTCAAATGTTACAAAAATAATATATATGGAACATTAAAAACAGGCTGTATTAGATAAGAAATTATGAAACTGAATTTTTTCTAAGTTTCTTTATATTATGATGTTTGATATGTTAAAAAAATCTTAATGGCTAGGAGAAACTACTCTTGCCAGTTCGTAGGAGATCATCAAAGAGTACAGCCAGAAGCCTGTCTTTAATACATACACTTACTAACACAGAGCCAAATCCACTCTGACCTCAAACTCCAGGAGGCAATTTTCATTTGCTTTAATAATTCCAGGGTCTGGTGCAAGGCAACTAGCATAACTAAAAACCTGGAATCTACCAAACTAGGCAATCTGAAACTGTCAATTTTGCCTTGCCTTTCCTGTGGGAATCCCAATAAAGATCATGGCCTAGAATATCCTATTGTTACTATTAATTCTGTCTCCTGATCAATGCTGGTGTTTCCCTAAAACCCTACATGGCATGGAGTGATATTATGTCTAGGACTTCATTTTCCTGAGCCTCTCTTGTGTTGGCCCATCCTAAACACCACAAAGATCACCAAACAAAAATCAGTAGCTAATAAAACAATGAAAACTGTTCAGAGTGTTTTGCAAAAAACATTTGAAAATTCACAAATATTAACTAAAAACTATATTAAATGTGTTTGCTTTTAAAATGTGTTAAAATGGGGTCAGTAGGTGGCACAGACATTAAGGTGGGTTGGATCTCACAATGGCAACTTTCACAATCAAGACCTGAACCTAGCAGCTTGATTATCATGCAGGGTGGGGATGATTTCTCACTTTGTCTTTCTTTGGGACAGAGCCTGTGTCCATGCTATAAAGTAAAACTATAAAAAAGAAAAAAGCTATAAAAAATTTTGTTTAAGCAAAATTACAATATAAATATCATAACCATACACATGAATAAAATGTCATATTTATATTCAATTAATTCTAGATTGTTTCCACTATGTATTAAAAAAATAGGTTATAGAAATAGATTTTTCTTCAATAGCAGATAGGATTCCAGAAAAAACTCCAGATAGAGAGGAAAAAAAAAGAGATACTCACATCAGGCTGCAGTCTTTTTGCCCGTCGACTATAGCTAGTAAACTTTGAAGGCTGGACAGACTGTCTGAGGGGAATGCTGTGAGGTGTGTATTCCTTGTCTTTCTCTTCAGTGTCAAATGGGTGAAATAGATTTTTCTTCAATAGCAGATAGGATTCCAGAAAAAACTCCAGATAGAGAGGAAAAAAAAAGAGATACTCACATCAGGCTGCAGTCTTTTTGCCCGTCGACTATAGCTAGTAAACTTTGAAGGCTGGACAGACTGTCTGAGGGGAATGCTGTGAGGTGTGTATTCCTTGTCTTTCTCTTCAGTGTCAAATGGGTGTGTGTCACACTGCTAGATAAAAAAATTATGCCAGGAGTTAATTCACATTTCTGATTAACAAATAATTAAGCATTCCCTTCACCTTAAACCTCTAACAAAGAAAATGCCCTGAATTATAAAAACCCATCCCTTTTGTTTTCTCAGGTGACTAAACACATAAGCCTTGGCTATGAATGAGCAGAAGAGCATAGTCAGTCTAGATCTGAACCTGCACTTGTATCTGATTCTGCATACTGAAGCTTTTTTTGTGCTTCTAATTCCTGATCTGAAAAACACTAAAAAGTTACATAGGTTACATAGATTAAATATGTGTCTAAATATATGAGGTATTTTGACTTTTTTATAAAGTAAAAAAAGTCTGCAAACTTAAAATCTAAAATTTATAATTATTTAAATCATTCAGCTAAATCAGTTCTTATTCTTTAAATACAAGTAATACAAAGTTTTTTCCCTCTAAGACTCCTCTAAATAGACAATCCCTAGGAAGATTAGCAATTTCACAAAATTAGATTTTTTACGCAGGCAACCTACTAACTGCTAGTCTACTATTGCTTTTACAAAAAGGTCTTAGTTGACACCAGCCTAAAATAGAGGAAAAGGACATTCTAGTTCTTATTTAACTACCCTAGCAATAATAAAATTTGTTCATACAAACAAGATACAAAATATTTTCCAGGGCCAACTGCTGCCAAATTCTGACTTTTATCAAAAGACTCAGACTCTCTAAACCTTAACTATGAATGAGTAAAGTCTAATCGTGAAAAGAGAAGAAAAAGCAACAGGAATAAATCAGATGAGACTCAAACCAGATTAAGGTTCTCACCACAAGATTGGCTCCAGACTGAAACATTTCATAGGGGTAAATAATGTGTTCATAGTGAGATCGTAGCAGGGAGCCAATGTTTTTGCCTTGTGGGTAATTAAGGCGCTGGGCAACTCGGGCCCACCGACGGTCCTTACAGATGGCTTCATAGCCACCCTCCTCTGTCACAACCTGAAAAGAAAAGGAAGAGTATGGGTGACCTATGAGTGGAGTGGAGACTGACAAAAAAATAGCAATGGGTCTTGAAAACTGTAACTGTGAATGAAAACCAGACAGAAATCCTGCTGGGCTCTTCTTTCAGACCTAGGTATAATATTCTATTACAGAAGATTTTTCAGCCAACGGATATAACTTGCTTTTCCTTTTGTAAGGCTTTTACCTTATTAAGGCTGTAGAGGTCCAAGATCTTCCGCTCTACATTGGGAATCTTTAATGAAGAGCCTTGGATTTCCCAGAATTTTGCAATCTGATCCAGATAGTTCAGCTTCACTGTGGTCTGGGCCTAGGAAAGTGAAGCACTATGAGGTTGGTTTACTTTTTAACTCACATTTGGTCCAGTCTTAAGTAGATTTGTATTATTCCATAGCACCTTCAGTTCTCTTCTAATGTTCTACACCTAGGCTTCACTGCCTAACTCATCATGGTTATCTAACAAAGGTCAAATAAACTGACTCTTTAAGATGAGTAAGGAATAAAAAGTCTATAATTAAAATTCTTCAACTCTAATAATTATGCTTGGGCTTAAAAACCATTTGACTTAAGGTACCCTTCTAGAGTATAGAGACATAATCAAAGAAACTAAAATACATACCTAATTCAAAAACTTTAGCTATTATGGCCAGCAGTAAGGTGGTTATGGAGGCTGGCTCCCATGTGATTTAATGTGTGATTTCAAGTACTGGAACTGGCAGTTTGAGAAATATTCTGGGTGCAAGTACGAGCAAGCTCAAAAATCCCAAAGAGAGGGAATATAGGAAACAGGGCTATACCACAACCATTCACCATGAGCTGTGCTTTCTCACTCTCTCTTTTTCTCTCTCTCTTACTGGTGATGACACATGCTCTCTAGCAAATTGAGAAAAAAAAAAAAAGGCAAAACAAAACTTGGACAACAAATCAGTTCCTCAATTATTCCTTCCTTATTCCAAGTCATCTGGAATGTCTGGTCACTGAACATAGTCAAAATTCTAATAACAGAAACTGCCAAATCATTCATATATATTTTTCACATATAATACTAAGCTGAATATTTAGACTTAATACTTTAAACAACTTTATCTCTTAAGGTCCATTTTATTTAAGTAGAATGCATGTAATATTGCCAGCATTACACTAGAAATTTAAAAGACACTATTTCTATAATGTATTCTGCTTTTGTTAAGGAAAAAAGAACTCAAGGAAAATTCAAAGTGATAAAATATGTAGATATGTGGAGAACAAATGGGAAAGTATGACTCTACTTCCTAATAGCTCTCAATTTAGCCATTCCTCAGAAAAAAAATTAAATCATTCATTTCAGAAATTTTTAAAATTTTTTTCTTTCTTTCTTTGTTTTTCCTTTGTCATAGGGCATGTGTGCTTACTGGAAAGAAACACAGAAGAAAAATCAGAAATCTCCCCCAGGGAGGATGGTATACTATCCACAATATAACTATAGACTATAACCCCTTCTCTTTTTTAGGCAAAGACAGATATGCCAAAAGTGATTTTCAAGCTCCTAAGTCTAGGACTCAAACTACCATCAGCCCTGTGGCAGTTTAGTGCTTTAACAAAATTGTAACCTAGGGGACCTCATTTTGGAAATTTAAAGCCTTATTCACATCATAGCATTTTACAGACCATAATTACCTATTTCATAGAAGAGTGTCTCCAAAGTCAATACTTTTGGAAATTATAAAGTTGAGGTTAGAACTAACTGCATTGGATTTCAAAGCCTAAATTTCTAAATAACCAGTGCTATAAAATATTAGGAACACAGATTAGAACTTGGCTTCCTCTGTAAAAGTGTGTCCACTTAATCTCACCTCTAGTTCATTTAGCCTCTGAATGCGAGGAGTAAATCTGAAATTGTCAACTTCTACTGCAAAGGGAGGTTGCCAGTCCTATAAGTAAATGAAAAAAAAGAACCTGGTAATTATGTCAATAGATGAAGGCTGTGAGAACTAGTATCATTTGTTTCTACCTTAATCTCTCCCTTTTAAGATTTGCAAGACAATAATTAATTATTTAATAATCAAGTAACTGTAAGCAAAAACAAAACCCCAGTCATCTAAATATCTTACTACTATCTTTCTTTCATTAAAAAAAGCTCCAAAAACAAAAGAAGGAAAACAAAAATTCTAGGCCTACTGGCTGATTATAAATGATTTTTTAAATAATGAGTCACAGCTAAAATGAATTTTTAAATAATGAGGCACAGCTAAATACAAACTAAGCTATTTGGGTTATGAGACATGTCCTTACTAAAATGAAGATAAACCTCATATTGATAGGAAATTATTTTATTTTCAAACCTAAGTCATTGTCTTTTCCTATTCCCAGCAATGTAAACAAGCTGAAACAACACGAAACATCCAAAGAGAAGAAAACGAATGTTGTAGTCAGGTTGAGTATCTAAGATGGTAAAAGCAGTATTCTGAGGAAATACTTAATGTATATTCTAGATATTTTAAACTTTTAAGATATTACCCAGGCTCTTTTACACTATGCATTCATAACTGAGCCAATTTCTACCTGTATCAATGGGTAGGTAGTGCTGAGTGTACACAAGAATAAGAGAGACCTCTATCTGGAATAACAATGTTATCTATGGCAAGGATTCCACATAACCTCCCATTCTTATCTTTGTCCTTAAAGCGTCCCAAGTCAGATGAGAGAAAGAAAACGTGCTGGGATTAACAGCAAAATGAAATCATATAATTGATCATTCCTTTCTTTTATATAGCAAATATCTCGAATGCCATATTTTCTTCAGTTTCAATATAGAAAAGCTATTTCTGTATTACAGATTAATGATAATGACAGCACAGTGTACAAACATAAATAACATCTGTAGCTAAATAAAGCTGTTATAATCCCATAAGAATCAGGCATAGGATATGAATTTTCGTGGCGTGTTATGAAGAACTACTGAAACAACTCAATTAACAACTTGGAGAACGTAGCACAAACCTAAGGCCCTTTGAAGTAGTACAGTTAACCCCACGTTCAAACCCCCTCTTTCTTCCTAATATTTCTTCTGAAGCTTACCTCAGGAGGACGAATCTTGCAAATGCCAGATTTTTCTGCGATGGGCCTGATTTTCGCTATGTAGCCCAGCGGGTCTCGGAATTCGGCCCAGGTAGGCTCGAATACAGGGCACTCCGGCGGCGGTAGAAAGTCGTCGAAAACACGTTCCATGATCGGAAAGAGTACTAAGCTGTAAAAACAATATTTACGCTTTCTTCAGTAATACTTAGCTTTTTTCCACTAAAGAATACAAACCAAACGTACTTTACTTCCTCCCTTACTATTTAATCCGTGCAGCTGCTTACCGACCGACACCACGCTCGGTTTTACAACCACCATCTTGACCCCTCTGCTTTGCCGTCTTTTACAAGCGTGTCACTCCGCGGATCAAATCAATTCCTCTGATCTTGAATTATTCCCAAACCTGAGAGTTTTGTATATGAGTCAAAAAAGTGAAAGGCGTTCACCTGAGAAAAGCCAGCCGATGAGAGCTGCTTCACTGACATTAAATACGTCTCCAGGGGAACTGAGAATGAAGAAATAGTATTGCCGGAACTTTTTTTTTAATGGAACTACTGCGCTCTTTACGCCTGCGCATTAAAAGGAAGGGCCATAAAAAAATTTAATGGGAGCGTGGGTTTTTTCTTAGGAAATCCCAGCTGGCAG